GTGTATTTTTTTATTTTTTATTAATAATTACACTTTCTTTTTTATCAACTTCGAATTTGGGATCAATTCAAATATTATCAAACATGAAAATTCCACCTCTCCCTCCTTCACAGAGGATAAGACATGAACATTTTTATATTTCCTTTCAGTAAATAATATTCATAATCATAATATAATTTTATCAAACGTTATACTAGGTCAATTAAGATATAATGGTAAATGGATAACTTTGTTTTTATTTCATATAGTATAAATGTCCAGCAACCTGTTCCTGCATTGTTAGCAAAAATGAATAGAATAAAAAAAATTTTTTTCTTAGTGTGTTTAAGTCTTGAATGATCCCATTTTCTTATAATATCTGGGTAATTCTTAGGGAGGGGGGAGGGTATGTCATCACCCTTTGGTCTTTATCTCCTTATGTATACAGCTCCTTATAACATACATACATTAGGCCAGGCACTTACGACCCTGATGCGAAAAAATGTAGAAGAACAGGTTTACAAAACAACTTTGGAAGACCCACTGTTGAACCAGCATACGAAGTGAAATGTTTAAATAAACCCTGTGATGTTTGTATCAAATGCAGTAAAGTTTGCAACTACGATTACTGGCATCAAGATTATACAATATTTCTCTGTCACTTTTGTATGGAAGAAGAAAGACTTGAGAGGGAAATGTATAAGTCGAGTGAACTTAGGAAATTTAAAGTAATAATGCAATATTTATAAAATAAATATCGATACACTGTTAATACCTTTCAGAGAATGCGAACTTGTACCTTTGTACATGATCACCAGGGAACGACAGCAAAAATATTTCAATGGGAGAGAAATAAGCTTAACGAAAAATTACGAATTGAAAACTATTTGAAGAAATACATGATTTAATCAGCACGCCAGATTATAGTTTAAAATTGCAAATATCAATAAAGTAACAATATATGCATTTTTTTCTTTATTACTACCATACTCTACATAAGTTTAAAACAGTTTATAACGTTAAAAAACTTTTTAAGCGTATAAATTAGTACATAGAGGATTTCTAAATAGAAAAAAGGAAAAAAACGGCCTTATTACGTTTTATGAGACAAACAGGTACCCATGTGCCCTTTAAAGTCTATATCTAAAGATATCGATGCTAATTATTTAGTAGTATTTGCAGTGAAACTTTTAGGAGCAATGCTGCTACCAGCTCCGTCTGGTGCAGGTCTATTCAAGGAAGAATCACTTACACTGGTTCCTGTAGTTGCGCAAGACTGAGCACTTTCCTCATTCAAAGAAGCAGAGCTGGAGTTTGCAGATACACTGCAGAGCTTTTCAAACATAACAGTATCAAACGAAGCATCGACGAAATTGGGTCCTCTATTTTCTATGGTAGGATCTGTCTGATGATCACTAGTTTGGCTAACAGAACAACCAGAAACATAACGACTGCTAAAGGGGAAGTCGGAATTTGTTTCAAAACTTTTCGACGCAGCGAAAACATTGTTTCCAGCAATCAAGGAGATTTTATGTAGGAGATTATCAACTCGTTCTTTTCCTTGTTGAAGTTGTTGGTCCAACGATGCTAAACTCTCTGAAAGCGGTATGGAACCCTTGGTAGCATCGTTTTCGTTGATTGCCTCGCCTTTTGTATCAACGCCATCTCCACCTGCTGCAACATCAACAAGCAGTGGGGCAAAAACTTTCTGTTTCATTTTCTTGGAAGCAGATCTAAAATCTGCATCACTTTTGTTTGGATCTGTGCCCAATTTGAAGGGCGTGAGGTGTTTTGCTCCTTCTGGATTGTCTTCAAGTTGAAGCAAAAGATTGCTATTTTTATGTTTCTTCTGTTTTTCCAATTTATCGAAGTCGATAGTGTCAAAGTCATCTTCTACGCAAAGCATATTAATATCAGACTCAAATGCTTCAGAGAAGTCGTCATTTGAATCTGAATCTTCTTGAATAACGTTTGCAAGTCGCGATCGCAAACGTTGATTGATTTCTTCCAGTTCTTGAAACTTTCTTTTAAGTGCGTTATTTAACAACTCACTGGGTTCTTGGGGAGGGGGTGGGGCAGGTTTTGGAAGAGTAATTGATTTGGGAACTGTAGGTTTCGAAGAATTGGAAATCTGAGTTCTTGTAAATCGCGTAATCGATTCCAATGGCGTAACGCATATCTAAGTTGTGAGAAAAGTACAGCTGTTTACTAAAAAAAAAAATATTAAATGAAGGATCTTACCTTAATTTGTCCATTGCATTTTCCTGAAAAGTCGATAATATTGAACCACCCTTGAACAAAAGGAAGACCAGCCAAAAGTACTGTCAAATCTACCGCCGCAAAACCAACAACTCCATCGGTATGTAAGTTTTGTTGAGCTGTGGGAGCGCCATTTTGACGCCATACTTTAAAAATCAATCTTTTCTGGCTCTAAAAGAAATTAATTTTTTGAATAAAAAAATTGCACTAAACAATTTATTAATATAATTTACGTTTGTGAGTAGTTCTGATGGTAAAAAGACCTCGCATTTGAAATCCCATCGTGGATTGGTAGTTTTGAATTCCACAGGTGTAATTTTTAATTGTGCATTAGGTTCGACTTCAAAAGTCACATAATGACTCGGAAGAGCAATTTCGTTATTAGCATGCTTCTTTTTATTCTTCCTTGATCTGCATTTCTTTCTCATGGGCAAGTGAAGGGCTTCTTCTACCAATATGCGAGTTTTAAAATAAAGTTTATCTTGTACATCTCTCACAGGAATCTCATTATTTAATGGGGTTTCTTCTACTTCAACTTTTAATGCTTCATGTAGAGAATCAAGCAAATCAGATGTACTTCTCAAGTGTAAATTTGTTGTATTTTTATAAATATTATTTTCGATTTGGTCAAAATAAGCCGATGTATTAGATATTGGGACTGTTGGACTTATATTGTTTAANAGTGAGTCCCTTTTGTTCATAAAACTTAATACGCATTGTGAACACTCTCCGAGCTTCCTGTGGATATTTAGACGGAAATACATTATTATTTGGTTGCATATCACGAAGCGTGAAAGCCCTTCATTCACTTTATGAATTGCTATCTCTAGTGCCATTATTATAAGTTTTGCTCTTTGTAATACAGCAAGAAGTATATGAGCATCTTTCTTACAAGTCATTGAATAGTTATTGATCTAATTTTTGAAAATCGCAGTAAAAAGGCAAACGAGAAACCTTTTGAAATGGTCCATTTATTTTATTTCTTACTCCCTAAACCTATGATTGATTATTTCTTTATTTGCGCACTGGTTTGTACTGGTGAATAATTATATTTCACTCAGTAGTCGTTGTAAACTTATGATGTACATGAAATGCAGCTATTGGAACGAACATATCAACGGGATAAACGTTTTTATTACAGGCAAAATCGAATCTACTAAAGCTAAATTAGTTTAAGTTAATGCGAAACAATCAATGTTGTGTGTAGTTTCACTTTCTACATTCCCCAACATCTTATTTAAATGCCTAAATGGCCTGTTGATTTCCTACGCTAAAACATGAATATTAAACAAGCATAGGTCAAAACGAGTAGTAGCCTATGCAAGTATTTAGATACGATATGTACCTCCATGAAAAACACATGTACGATTAAACTAAAAAAATAATCACGTTTTTATGTACATGTACTTTTTAGTGTGTAAGTCACGTTTTAAAGATGGACATTGTTTCACTGTTATTATAAAAGTGAACATCATACAATACAACCAAGACAACTTGGATTGTAAATAAAGATCATCAATACAATTGCTTTATTCGATCAATAATGTTTATAGTTCGCCTTTTTTACATCTGAGTACGAATATATACATTTGAGGCAAGGGAGGTTGCAAGGGAGGGAGCAAGGGAAGAGTGGAACCCTATCTAAAATTATGCTGATAATCGACTCGATGCTCGAAGTAGAACAAATATAAGAAGTCTGCGTATTTTCTATTTCGTTCTATTAAGATACATTTCCGATGGGCTTTTGCCTACTCTAATTCTATTATCTGTGTGGTTGAAACAACAATGGGACTATTGGGATGGATTAAAGCAGTTTTTCGCTCCTACTCGTCTTATCTCGAAATTTGAACGTGTTCGTGTTCGTGCTCTGATCTAAACCCACCCTAAGGTTCTAAGCAATTCAGTAGTCGTGGTATTAAAATTGGTATTTCCTTATCCAATCAATAAATAAAATAATTTTGGAGAAACGCATGGATATGTATGCGGAATCAAAAATTACATACGACATTTGATAAGAAAAATGCTACCTACGTAATAAAATACATGTAGCATTCCGATTTTCCTTTAGTTTTGGACATTTTATGGCAAAGCATATCATACTGATGAGAACTTTTGATCCCGTCTTCTATTTTTATATTGTTTATACAGTATTTTCTTCTAATAAGTTTTTAATAAGGATGTGTAAAATTGATCTTTATTATTTTCTTCGGTAACAACACAAAAAAATCAGTTTTTACAGCTGTACATACGTGAGGCTATTGGCACAAAGATCAATGTTTTTGTTTAGCAAATGGAAACATAAACAACTAATGTCTTGCAATGTGTACGTTAATCTGCATAGCAACAAACTGATGCAATATTTGCCTTGACAATTAAATGTGTGAAGTGCCTAAGTAATTGAAGTTGCCCTTTACTAGGAATACAGGACTCCACATTGGCTCTAATGTGCGGTAAAAATAATTAACATGGAGAGTTCAAGAGTCCTTTTGCTATTACAAACATAAAAGAAAGGAACAAGTTTCTTACGCAAGGTGTAATACAATAACTATCATCAGAATTCCAAAAATTCATTTTACTAAGCAGTGGAAGACTCAGAAATGATAAGGAACAAAAGAATATTTTTGATTTCGTCTGCCAAAAAAATTTGTAGATAAAAGAGCAACTAAATTTCACCAAACGGTTTCAATTTTACCTTTCTTTTTTGTTCGGAATTTTAAAAATACAGCCTCCAACTTCTTTAAGGAGATTCAATTTATTTTCAGATTATGGTGATCTAGTGGCAGCTGTACAACGGTTGCAAATACAGTTGAAGAAAGCAGGAACGGGTGGAGGTTTGGGAGGTTTGGAAGGCAGAGTGGCAGCGGTCCAGTCCCTCTTGCTTTCCCCTCAATTTGGACGTGCTTTGGCCATCCATAACAAAGTGCAAACGGTGCGATCGCGAATCAGTTCTCGACCAGTTGCCAATGCTCAAGTTGCGCTAAGAGACTGTCTAGATGCCTTAGGGAATTCCCAAAGCGCTTCCGCCGTGGAACTCGCAACATTACTCACAGGTAGACTTGAAAGGGCTAAGTACTTCTATCGAATTTCCCCAAACGGAAATACGATTGCCTTTCTTTGCGGATTCGTGAACTTACATTTACTTTTGTTCCCTGTTTCCTATTTTCAACAACGTTGCTATTGTAAATCCGTTTAAATTTTTATCATAAAGTTTGCTTCGAATCACATACGTCAAAAGATTTGGAGATCTTGATTATTTTTGATGCCCAGTTAATTTCTGAACTTAAAGTGTTTATCAATCACTTCTTCTAGTCTTTATTACCTAAAACCATTAAAACTTCGGTTCAAAAAAGTTGAAGATCTTCCTTGTGGTACTCAAAGACGTTATGTATCCATTTATAAAAGCCGAAATTTTAGGGTACGAATTAGAAGCTCTTATGGTAGCCCACGATGGTGTCGCTTCAACATTACCTCCCGACTCCGTAACGCCAACGCCCTCAACCGCAGAGACAATACCACAAACGTTACCTGATCACTACGGAGCGGACAATATCAAAATAATCAAAATCGAAAAGAGCACCGAACCTCTTGGTGCCACAATCAGAAACGAAGGGGACGCTGTAGTTATAGGTAACGGATCACATCGTTTACGTAAGTTGATGGTTATCGATTGCATTAAAAAATTATTATTTGCTTCAGGGAGGGTAGTGAGAGGAGGAGCAGCGGAAAAGAGTGGCCTGTTGCACGAAGGCGATGAAATCTTAGAAGTGAACGAAATCGAAATGCGCGGCAAAAGCGTGAACGCTGTCTGTGATATTCTGGCAACTATGGAAGGGACCCTAACGTTCCTCATAGTTCCCGCGTCCCAAGCTAGAAGCCATTCAGGCCGGGACTCCGTGCTACACGTCAAGGCGCATTTCGACTATGACCCCGAAGATGACCTTTACATACCCTGTCGTGAACTCGGCATTAGCTTCCAGAAAGGCGATGTTCTGCATATCATTAGTCAGGAAGACCCTAGTTGGTGGCAAGCCTACAGAGAAGGTAAATAATCATCATTTTTTTCGTAAATTTTCTGGATCATTTTTTCACGCTTTCTTCCATCATTTGTAATAATTATAATTTTTTTATAATCAAGGCGAAGAAGATCAAACGCTGGCAGGTTTGGTGCCATCTCAATCATTCCAGCATCAGAGAGAGACAATGAGACTTGCAGCAAGTGAAAGGTATCCAAAGGCTCAGCGGAAAGCCACAACGTTGTTGTGTGGGAAAGCCCCTAAACGGAAAAAGAAGAAGGGAGCATACGCTGAAGGTGGATATCCAATATATGCCAATGCCATCGACGGTATGTACTAAGATGATGTAACTGAACTTAAGTAAAGTCTGAATTTTTATAGAGTATGAGCCTGACGAAATTTTAACATACGAAGAAGTAGCCTTATATTATCCTAAAGCCAATCAAAAGAGACCCATTGTCCTCATTGGTCCGCCTAATATTGGAAGGCATGAACTGAGACAAAGGTTAATGGAAGACTCAGAAAGATTTGCCGCAGCCATCCCTCGTAAGTACTGTAACATGAATGATTAAAAAATTCAAATCGAATTTACTTTTAATATATTGGTCTCCTTTTTTTGACAGATACCTCAAGAGCAAGGAAAGACAACGAGGTGGATGGTCAAGATTATCATTTCATAACAAGAGCTCAGTTCGAAGCAGACATTTTATCTCGGAAATTTGTCGAACATGGAGAGTACGAGAAAGCTTATTATGGCACTTCACTAGATGCTATTAGATCAGTAGTTAATTCAGGAAAAATATGTGTATTGAATTTACATCCTCAGAGTTTGAAAATATTGAGGACGTCGGATCTGAAACCCTATGTTGTGTTCGTAGCGCCACCTAGTTTAGAAAAACTACGTCAAAAGAAGATAAGAAGTGGCGAAGCCTTTAAGGTAACTAATTAATACGTCCCCTTTTCGTCTCATGCAATAATCTAATAATTTTTATTTGCCAGGACGAGGAATTGAAAGACATAATTGAAAAGGCAAGAGAAATGGAGAGTAAGTATGGTCACTTCTTTGACATGGTAATTATTAACAATGATACGGAAAGGGCGTACCATCAGCTGCTGGCGGAAATCAACAGTCTGGAAAGAGAACCACAATGGGTACCAGCAGCCTGGGTGAAAGCCCTCTAATCCGATCATTATCTAACTGTATAATTATTGTTATTAATGATATTGTATACTACTGTGTTTTTAGTTAAAAAAAATATCGTCGTTATTATCTAGTATTTACGTATCGTTTTTTAAACTGTCAACAGTGGGACAGCAATAACATTTATATAAAAAAGCGGAAAAACAAATTGTTGCTGTCTCACTTAGTTTATCAAAGCGACGTTGTATACTGTATAATGGGATCTGTTAGAAAGTATCGGCAAAAAAAAGCGTACCAGGAGACAAAAATTATCGAAATACATATTCATTTTCAAAATGTATTGTGCAGAACCTTAGAAAGTATGGACAGTGTAATTACCTAAGTTGTTGGCTTGGTTTACCATTTTTTTCCACATGAAACTCTATCTCCAATAGTATTATAAGAAAATCAAAAGGAGTTTTGTGGAACTGCATTATATAAAAAACTAAAACCTAAAATTAGACATGAAAACGTTTAAAAAACCTAAAACGCGTTTCGACGCCTAAGGTGTCATCCTCAGTTAGAAAATAAGTTTACTACACAAAAATTTAAGGCTTAACAATAAATTAAAACTAAACTTATACAAATGCAAATAATATGCAACACAATAACTTATTGCCTGTGCTAATTGGCACCATTTATAATTTAAATAAATCTTACCTTTAAAGATAAATGCAAATCAATCTCTTAATAAATAACTCGTCACAACAACTGCACCGCACATCGCGAAGTGGTTACGGTGGTCCAAAAACTGAATAAAAACAAGAACAACAGATAAAACATCTGCCAATGATTCGATAAGGAAGAGCTTTCTACAATGGCCTTGGACATTCCTGAATTAGGTTTTTTGCTGCATTCTCTAAAGATGTTTACCAAGGTGCAGTTATCGTTGTTTTGCCCGCTTAAGACATATATAAAAGCTTGCTCCGGATAATTGTTTAATATTTTTAGATTTGGTTGTAAAATTGTGTTTTGAAATTATAGTCTTTAACAGAAAATAACGCGTTTTAAGCTTTTTAAAAGTTTTTATTAGGTGTTAGGATTATGTATTTTATTTAAATAATAGTTTCGTTCCCACTTTTTACACTTTTGACTACCGCACAATAAGAAGAATGTTTCTTAATTTTTTTTTCGGTCCCTGGTTGCGTTTCTTTTTTTCATGCAATTGTACAAGGAGAGAAAGTGATGTAAAGAGATGCGGCATGTAGCATACTACCCATGGCCTAATCGATAAAATGGTGCTACAATTTTTCTCTTTCTGATCTATTCTCTGTCGTTATAATAATAAAATTTTGATTTGTTTTCAATTCGTAATAATCCGATATGTATGTAGCCAACAAAATCGGTTGGTCGTTGCTGATTTTATAGTAAGAAGGACCAAATTTTACTAATTGTTTGTCTTAATATAAATATATGTATATGCGGACATCACTTAGTGCTGTGATCAGTACTGCGCATGCGGGCAGTATTCAAAGTCGAAAACAGTTTAAGTATTAGAGAAGGCAATAATAATATGAATGTATATAGGAACTAGGATTATTCAGTCTTGTTAAATATATGTATAGAAAGCAACTATAGCTTCACGTGTTGTAAAAAGTGTATAAGTACTTATGTATACTAATCAGTGTTTTATAGCAATTTTAAAACCATTTACTTTACTTTTTTACATCTTATCAATTTTATATTACATATTTGTGGGTTCTTGTTGTAATTTATCCACAACAATTCACATTATGTAATACTTACGATTAGTGTTGCGTCATTTTAAGATGAATTTTATGAAATAAATCAAATTTAAAGAATATTTTCTTATAAAAGCTTCTAAAAACGAAGCACAGCTTCTAATTCGACTAGTCCTTATAGGCACTGGCCACAAAGATTTAATAAAACATAGAGGCTTTTATAAAAAAAAGGTACCGTTTTTACCATTTCTCATATTAAAAAGAGCTTTTTCTGCTTTAAAAATATTATATATACATTAAAACACTCGTTTTCTGACAAACAAGCCGAAATACTAAAAAAAAATATTCGATATCAAAGTATTTAAATCTAAGCTCACCTCTAGGAATAATTATATTTATAATTTTACCTAACGTAGTTTTTGAAAATAAATCTCTACAAATGTTATAAGTAAACTGATGATGATGTTCATAACAATACTTAAATAGGTATTTCTTTACATATCAAATCAAAATAGCTTTTAACGTTCCCTGTTTTTGCTACATTCCATCACCAAGGCTTGTTGGTATCCAATATTAAATAATGTGGTACTCTAATAATAAATAGGCAGA